AGAGAGAGAGAGAGAGAGAGAGAGAGAGAGAGAGAGAGAGAGAGAGAGAGAGAGAGAGCAGGGTGGGAAGGAGAATGAAAGAGATATGAATCAAATGTTGAATATGGCAAAAAAAAAAAAAAGTGCCATGAAATTTCCAATGTGTGCATGAACTTTATATATATATCGTCACAAACAGAACTGCCCGGTAAAACCGTAGGCAGAGAGAGAGAAATACATATATATGTATATGATGAGTCGGTGAAACTCCGACGAAACAGTTTCTCACAGCCCCTCGTATGAGGTGGACTGCCACAGCTGGAGACAGGTACGTTGGCGGATTACTAAGGAAAAGAAAAAACAGGGGCCACGGCCTTGAAATAACATTTGAGTTTTGAACTGACCGGCCCTAGGTAATTCAGACTTGCAATATTTTTACTTAATAATAGTAAGTTAACTTAATACTCATCTGCTTCCAGTGGAGTTCGAGCACAGGTAGGTAATAGGTATGTATTTCCACAGTGAAGTGCTGTACCAACTGAGCTAAGGTGGGACACTTGGGAAATGCGAGGAGTGCCAACCGTAATCCCCCGAACAAACGCACACTCATAATGAATGCATACAAGCAGTCTTTCCGGTCCGATACAGGCATGATGAGGATGCGTTGTGTTCAGGGGAAGACGGTAGAAGGGATGCCCCTAATCATGTCAAGACTCAAAACAGCCCGCCAAAAGAAATTGCTTCAAATCTCGAACACAACGCACCCTCCACGAATTCCCTTCACAAACATATGGACTGGCATCTCTCTCTCTCTCTCTCTCTCTCTCTCTCTCTCTCTCTCTCTCTCTCTCTCTCTCTCTCTCTCTCTCTCTCTCTCTCTCAGATAGACAAGTCTTTGGCAGCAGATGCACCTTTAGGAAGTTGAAACCTGAAACAGGAGAATTGAAAACTCAAAACTCAAAAGTCAAAGCTCAAAATTCAAAATTCAAAATTCAAAATTCAAAAAATCAAAAATCAAAAATCAAAAATTCAAAATTCAAAATTCAAAATTCAAAATTCAAAATTCAAAATTCAAAAATTCAAAAATCAAAAATCAAAATTCAAAAATTCAAAAATCAAAAATCAAAAATCAAAATTCAAAAATTCAAAATTCAAAATTCAAAATTCAAAATTNTTCAAAAATCAAAAATCAAAATTCAAAAATTCAAAAATCAAAAATCAAAAATCAAAATTCAAAAATTCAAAATTCAAAATTCAAAATTCAAAATTGGAAACTGAAAAGTGAGAATTCGAAACTGAAAACTGAGAATTCGAAACTGAAAATTCAAAATGGGAAATTCAAAATGAGACATGGAAAACGGAACATAAGGTGGCCTGCCTTGTTTCTTTCTTTTTTTTTTCTTTTTTTTTTCTTTTTTTTTTCTTTCATTCTTTCTTTTTTTCGTTCTTTCTTTCTTTCTCTCTTTTTTTTCTTTCTTTCTTTCTTTCTTTCTTTCTTTCTTTCTTTCTTTCTCTTTTTCTTTCTTTCTTTCTTTCTTTCTTTCTTTCTTTCTTTCTTTCTGTAAACATCTGCTTGGGGGGCGGGGAAGCGGGGGAGCGGGGCATCGCTTGAGGAGGTGGTAAGAACGTGCGTGCGTGCGTGCGTGGGGCACGTGGGTGGCCTTCTTACCATATCCCTTACGTCAGACTTGAGCATGAGCCTTTTCATCACTTGGGCCTCCACATTCACTGAATCTGCAATGCTGTTGTTACGAAAGACACAGAAATAAACGACCGAACATCGTTAATGAATAATTAACTAATAATTTAATTTAATAAAATAATAACGACTACTTGTTTTCTCTGTCCGTCAATTAATTTAGCATTTGGTTTTTTGGACTGCTTAATTAACATCTGAATGTCAACGGAGTAATCACCATCATCATCATCATCATCATCATCATCATCATCATCATCATCATCGCCATATCCATCACCATCATGGCATCATTGTAAACGTGCTATTTTTTTTATTTTTTTATTTTTTTACCGTGCTAATCCTCATGGTGGGCGCATTCGACATCATCGTCATCATCTTCGTCAGTGCTGTGGTAGCGCCTAGACATTGTCGGGACCTGGGTGCCTCTCCGCGGCACCTCGATGCTATGGTGGTCGTCGAGGCTTGGGTGTCTCATCATA